ACAGAGCCTGCAACTATAACTCTTAGATGTTTTCCAAATAATGAGAATATATATGCACATGTCATTATTTCCATAAGACTTAGAAATACTAAAGTGGATACAAATACCATATTTTTATATATTTGACTTTTCCATATCAAATAGGAATAAATTTTTCTAACAGCTTTATATATTTTTTAGTGTTTACATTTTTCATTGTTCTTTATTTAAATTAAGTAAAAGTCCACTAGACATACGGATGTTCTTATGCGTTCTCACCCCTCTTTACCATTCTGTGAAACCAGGTATGTGTCTTTGGGACCTGGACTTTCTAACCATTCCAGCCATATAACCAGACAAATTTAGGCTTTTTACCTTAGGGGAAAAGCTGTTACTTGGGGAAAGAATGATATATAACATAATGATGCTTAGTTTTGACGATTAAAATTTGTCAGTTTTTCATATGTACAAGATCATTCTTTACAGCATTGTTTGTAAGAGCAAAACACTAGAAATAATCTAAATGTGCATCAGCAAATCAGCAGAGAGAATGAGGCAGCTCTTTATTTACTGATGTGGAAGGCTCCTCAAGATCTAGTTTGCTAGAAAAAAATAGCCCGGAACGGTGAATAGAGTCTGCTACCATTTGTTGGACAGAAAAGTCTTTTTGTGCATGTGTGTGTGCACACTTATGTAACCACGGAATGTCAGGAAATCTTTGGAAATAGACACAAGAAACTGGCAACTGGTAGCTCTTTTGAGAGGAACTATGAAGAGTAGAAGGTAGACCGACTTTCACTGTTGCAAACTCTTGTACCATATAAATGTACGAAAATCTTCAAAGTCATAATAATAATTAAGTTTTTTAAAATAATATGGCAACGGTGGCGGGGGATGGTCAGCTTTTGAGTTGCTACAGCTGAGATCCTTTATGGTTTCTTTTTTCTTGGTGCATAATAGAAAGTATTTGCAGGATAATACGTTTCAAGATTTCATCAGTAAACTAAAAATACTAATCAGGACCAAAATTAAACTACCAAACTGATTTATTTATAAATCAAAACAAAATCAGTAGAAGACGTACTTTTCTATTATAGAGCTTACCGTCCATTTGAGAAAATAAAACAGCATATACAGGTGATCTGTCTGTGGCAGCTGTTAGGCTAAATTCAGCACAGTTATTTCTTCTAATCTTGTTTCTGTCCCCTCTACCCCAGTGCTTCACGTGAGTTCTTCCCAAAGCTGTTCAACCAATGGAAAAGGAACTTCCTAGCTAGAAAGATAAGCTTCAGTTAAGTGTGTATAAAAAGACAAACACATAGAACAACTCAAGAATGATTAATGACTAATTTATATTTTTTCATGAATTGAAGTTTAAAATAAAGCTCAAAGATAATATGTTGAGATTTTGTTCAATTTATAACCAATGCTGAATCTGACCACTTAACTGAAATTGATATAGATTATTCTTTTTTTCATTTTGTATATCAAATACCAATATAACAAATTAAAATTCACTATAATAAATTATTTCCAAGATTTGACAAATATATGTGGAAATAATTTTAATACTTTCTTAAAGATAATTATAGTTGGAAATAACCCAAATTAGTTAAGGTTATGATTTATTTGTATGTTTTCTAAAATATTTCAAAATATTCAGAATAATTCAGAAAAAATTCAGGATATTTCTAACTGTTATTATTTCTAAAACTTATTTAGGTAGTTTAATAGCATTATCACAAACTTAAAAGCAAAGATCAGTAAACAACCAGATAACTCTGCCTGGAATTCAAACTATTTCTTCTAATACCTGGGTTCAGATCACTAACATATACTGTTTCTTAGCTTAACTGCGTATTTTTCTGTCAAATATGGTTTCTATATACCTTGTTTGGGCATTGACATCTTAATCTTAGAAGCAAAAATTATCAGAATAAACAATGAACTTCTTTTCCTCGGGGAGGGTATGTATACCTATACACATAGAGATGTATTTACAGCTAAAGAAGTTTATTTCACCAAGTTTCTTCCTTTCTTCCTTTTTTTTTTTTTTTCCTTCCTTCGTTCAGGCCCTGTTATTCCTTATGTCATTGGGACCAGGGGAGTTCAACTATCTGCACATAACACGTGGCATGGTTCCAGAAGGACAATATTTGGATATGAAGTACCTTTCATGTCAGTAAAACATGAAGGACCTACTCCTTTTGCTTCTTGGTCTTATCTTAACAAGAGCGTAGTGCAAGAGCTCCTTAGGATCAGAGAGTCATTTATATAATCTGTGTGCTCTCTAATGCTCTGTGAGCTCTCAGATATTCAGTGCTCAATTTCATGACTATGCAAGGAAACACACTTCACACCAAATTTCTGAATACTAGACCTGGTAACACTAAACTTTGAAGATCTTCATGTCTTTTAGAAATGGAGAAGTAAGGTCTTATGACTATTCCTTCATTCGTTTACATGGATCAAATAGGTCATCTTTGGTCTTATCTGTTTACTGTGATCCATTCCTTTGAGAGGATTTCATGCTCATTCCTAAAAAGTACTTGAAACACATTCTGCCTTGAAACTGGATTTGTGTGTGCTTTATTAGTACTTCTTTTTAGGTTTTTAAACTTACAGGAGGTATCAGGTATTAAAGATTGTGTCATGTTCTAAGAAAATAATATACTTTCACTGCATGTTCCTATTACAGTCAAGATGGGAAAGTTTCTTAACCACGGAGTGACTTGCAGATGCCCTCTTCACTTTCTGGGTACACCTCTTTTCCCTGTCTGCTCTGCTTCCCTCTTTCCCAAGAGCTGCTTTGTGGAAGACTTTCCATTTGTCATGCAATATCATGTGACATAAGAAAAATTACCCTACATATTTTTGAAGTCGCTGTAAGTCATCTCAGAAAAGAGAAATTTGATATCACAGACAATTTTTTGATAAGTATTTTCTTTGTTATCGTTATATACTGGAAGGAGGAACTGGCTTAGAGATGTACAGGTATTATTAGATGAAAATGTTAAGAACCTAAATGCCCAACAATATGAGACTAATTAAAAATCCATTCAACTGAATACGATGCAGCCAGTTAAAATTAGATTTTAGCATAATATTTAATGACCTGGAAAAAAACATTCCTAATGATGGTGACAGCTAAAATTTATTGGGTATAGATTTTGTGTCAGGCACCTTTGTAAGTGCTTGTATTAACTCAGTTGGTTAATCCCCACAACCATGGGGAGGAAGGATTGTTATCCTCATTTCAGAGGTGAGGAAACTGAGGCGCAGAGCGTTTCAGTAGTTTGCCCGAGCTTAGATAGCTGGTAAGAGGCAGAACTAAAATTCAGACCCAAGCGATTTTGGCTCCAAAGCCCTTACTTAGGCGTCATTACATGAAAAAATACCAAAGAAAAATCTCTGTAAGCTTTTTTATGGAACTAGACAAAATATTTTTATTTCATCTAAGAAAGAAAATGTTTTAAAGATACCCAGTCAAATTTTGACAACGCAGAATTGGTGGAGGGGACGGACAGCATGTCCTCCTACCGCATGTCAAAATATACTGTAAGATACAGTAATTTTAAAAATACCACAAAGTAGCAGATTAGGGGATAAATCAGAAGAGCATGCCACTTTTTACTTCCATGGGGAAGAGGCTGAATAGATACAATTCAATATTAACAATGATTATCACTGATTAGAAGGATTTACAGGTGATTTTTCTTTTTTTTCTATTTATTTTTCAGATAATCTACAGTGAACATTTTAAATTATACAATGTTAGCAAGTTTATTTTTAGTGTTCTTAAAACTTCAAATTTTAACAATATTTTATTAGTGCAATATATATTCCTATTTTATTTTATGCATAGTGTAACCTGCATTTTCTGAATTGTTTGCTCTGCAAAGTGAATTCTCTGAAATGTTTTATACATATGTATATATATGTAAATTCCTTTATTCAGGGCTTAAATTAACCGGTCACGCAGAAGCACTAATCCAGTCCTCCTTTTTGGTAAACATAGAGAAAAGGCAATGGGGTAATAATCCTCTTCTGTCCTAGGGTTGGGGAGAAGGATTTCAGAATCTTTGACTTCTTTTCAAAACCTAAATTGTAAACTATTGAATTTTGTATATGTGACTTCTTTATGATCACTTTATTATAAGTTGTAATAATTTTTCAGTTGATTCTCTTGGATTTTCTGAGTATGTAATTATTTCATTTATAGATAATCATAACCTTTTTCCCCAACATTTATGATCTATATGTTATATAACATCCCCCAAAATGGAATAGTTGTTAAAAAGACTAAGTAGTTGTTATTTAACAACACTCAAAGATGAGTCCAATATATTAATGTGAAAAAATGGAGTTTCAGAGTCCTAGCCTATGTATAGTATAATCCAGTCTTTACTTTAAAAATAAAAGCACTGCATAAACGGTTTAATTTGGGGAGATGACTTCTCCACCCAGAATTCCTGTCCCAATTTCAGTGTCTGTCTTAGCTTGCTTGGGCCACCATAACAAAATGCTACAGACAGGATGGCTTAAACAACAGAAACTTATCTTCTCACAGTTCTGGAGGCTTGGACGTCCAAGATCTCAGAGCCAGCTGGGTCGGTTCCTGGTGAGGGCCCTCTTTCTGGCTTGCAGAAGCTGCCTTCTCACTGCATCCTCACATGCAGAGAGAGAATGATCCCTCTCTTCCTCTTCTTACAAGGCCACGGTCCTATCGGATTAGGGCCCACCTTTATGACTTCATTTAACCTTAATTACCTCCTAAAAACTCTGATCTCCAGACACCGTCACTCTGGGCATTAGGGCTTCACCATGAATTGGGGGGGTTGGGTCACGACACAGTTCAGTCCATAGGAGTATCTACACTTTTTCCCCAAATATCTTCAGAAATCCTATGTCTAATTTATTTTATTTTAGACAGGATTAGTTTTAGCCTTTCTTATGATGTTCTTAAGGTATTTGTCAAGAAATGTTATCTAAACTTAACCTTATGAATCATTTCCTCTTAGACACAAAATCGAATGAAGTTAATGGCTGACAACTACGAGGATGACCACTTCAAATCCTCCCACTCCAATCAGACCCACCGTAAGCCCTCCCCAGACCAGGTGAGACTGCTCCTGAGGGTTTTATAAGAACAGCATGCTTTTATTTGATGTATTTTGTACTAGCATGTTACAAATTCTGGGGTATAAGTTAGAAGAATAAAAATCAGTTTCTGAAAATTCCTTCACTTTTTTTTGAAACACAGATTCACTTTCTATCTAGGAAGGTGAGGGATGATTATGAATATTTTAAGAGGAGATAGTCAAAAGATCTGAGGACAATAAAGAATCTTTGAATTGGGTTGAGAAAAAAATTTAATCTTCTCAGAGATACATACTAATTTGTAACTGTCCTGTTTTCCTTATTAAAGAAACAGTGCCTTATTAGAAAAACAAGACTCTTACCTTGTAAGCTTAGTGAGACACAACTCAATATAGAGGTAATTATTGTTTAATTGCAAATTTTAAAATCTCTGCTCATCACCTATTAAAGGTGAAGATTGAAACTTAGTTCCTTCACTCCCACTTCCTTGGTGGATCCCTCCAGAATATGTCATTCTCAAGGAAGACTGTTGCCTTCAACTTCTCATCAATGCCAAAGAGGCATTGATGAGTCTGAAGGGAACCGTATTCAACTCCAGTTTTTTGGAAGAAGGGAACTCTCCCAAGATCTTGAAAATGATGGATGGGGAGAGCGGTGACCGGATTACCTCATATCCCATTGCCAAAAATCAGATTTCAACATCTCCATCACACTCAATCTTAAAATATGTGGCTGAGGGAAAAAAGTGATAATAAGTAATTACATCCATATGACTAAAGAGTCTGGGGAACTCCCTCACTAAACATCTCCACTAAATGATAGCCATGGTGTTGTCTTAGGAGAAGAAGAAGAAATATTGCAGATGAAAGCGGCAGTGATATCCAAATGGTAGCTTTTTCTGAGATTCAGAATGTATTGTCATAGTCTGATGACATTTACTAAGCAGTTGAGGCGAGCGTTATATTTTCAAGGGAAAACAGTACCAGTCTTTAATGTAGGCAAAATGGAGAGCTGTCTGCCTCATGTCAGCAGTCTTTCCTTGGCAAGAGATCATTTTGTTTTCTCCGCCTGCCTCCTGATGTTTAGAATTAAATTTATGCCAGTGTATATATGATGAGTATTAGATCCTTTCCTTGAAACAGGTTTTGGTAATAAATACAAGGAAATGGATGCCTGGGAGTAGTGGGAAGCAAACAGAAATGGAGAAGGGTTGAAGAAAAGGCAAAAAATAAAGAAAAGCCTCCAACTTGATCATTTTGCCCAGATCCAGCCCTGGGATAGAGGAAGCATCTTGGAAAGATAGGAAGAGGAGAAATGTAATGACAAACTAATTACTAATTTTGGTAGTTTAGGGAATTAAAATCTAAAATAAAGAGTCAAGAAATTAGAGACCATTTTCTTCTACTACATTATGCTTATGTCTTTGTTTTAAATACTAACCAAATCTTTTTCGTTCCCATGCTGCTCTGGGGCACGTTCCCTTTGTCATCTCTCCCCATAGGATGAGGAGGAGGGTATATGGGCATAGCCAATCAGAGGCTCTTAGCTCAGCCATTTTGTTCAGAACGGTGAGAAACAGCTTTCCTTAACTATAGAAATGCTTTTTGTTTGTCTGCTTCAATTTTTTTTTACACAATCATTCTCACATCTTGTTTCTCTGTAATTCATAAAATCCTTTTGTGTGCTTTCTGTTTTCTCATTTTCACGATTCCTGTGTGTATTGCTATGCTTCTGACTTAGTGGGGTTTGGGTTTTGTGGCTTTTTTTCTCGTTGTGTGTTAATAGTCACTTTTATAATTTCTTTTTATACATTTTTGGGAGAACTTCCAGGGCATGTAACTAAATTTCTCCTGTTGTGATTTTATTAATAAGCTACCCTATCTAGCTTGATTTTACAGTGTCCTGGTAAGGTTCTTAGTGACTTACATCAAACTGGAAATAGAAAATTGATCAAATACTCTGCCAGTAGGTTTGGGATATGCTTTTTATGATAATTAATTATAAATATATAGTCTTTTTTAAAAAAAATCTTGTACTTTGAATTAAAACCTTTTGTTTCTGTCTATATAGGAATATCTATCTATATAGGAATGACAATTCCTATCTATATAGGAATTGTCAGAGTCAGTAATTCTTATAGAGTGCCTACCTAGAGCATCCCCCAGGGCTTCGACATTATTCTCAAACTGTCCATAAAAGTAAGGAGAAGTAAAGGAAGACTTTTTAAAAAGTTCATCTAAAGAATTCTTTTTCTTCTCTTTTGTGGATTGCCGCTGTCTTAAACAGTCGCCAGGACACTGTCTAGATTCTCCTTTCCAGGCCAATTGGCTGGAAAATATAGTCCAGCTGTGGCACTATCCCTCTTTGATCTGATGCCCTGGAGGTTTGACTAAGGAAATCTTTTTCTTAGAAAAAAATAATAATTATGATTAATAAGTTCACACATATTGGTGGCCTTGCGCTCCTGGATTCACTGCCCATGCTTATTGGTGATCTCACTCTCTTGGAGTCAGTTCTCCCTGAAAAGTCTATGTCTTGGTGTTATACTTCTTAAAATGATGTGGACATGTGTAGACCTCTCACTGGCAAACAGCCAAGAAGGATGATGAGGTAAGTTGTGGAAAGGGGCATATGCGGTGAAGATGGGAAGCTTTCCAAATGACTTTATCCTGAGGGTGTGAAAGAATGTGAAATGCACAATACCGACCAAAAAGTTCTTTGGGTTAGACTGTTGCATGCCAGACAAAGCCAAAGCTGAGAAAATTAGCGTGCTAATTCCCTTTACACTACACCCTACAAGGGTAGTTATTTGTCATCACGAAGCATGTGGAGGCCATACAGTAGTTGAATGTAGTTTACCAGTCTCCTCCTTCTAAACGAACCTGCCTTGTCTATTTTAGCAAAACATAGGAGCTTCTTGGCATGCCTTAGCAGGAAGCGTCCCCCCCCCCCCAACACACACATGAACAGCATCGTATTTTGTTTGTACACCCTTTTTCTAGCCAATTAGAAGAAACCTGTTAGTGTTCTAGGAAACAAGGCCCATAGGTAACTTTGCCAGGAGACTGAAAAATAAACAAATCCTTCACATAGACTTGTTCCTGAAGGCTGCATTTTCCTTTCTCTTCTCCCATAAAAGAATAACTCCTAGTAAGAGTTCAAATGTCACTGATTTTGATTTTTCCAGTTACTTCACTGTTGAGCTTACTGCACTAAAATATTAACTGCCATTGGTTTAACACAGTGCAGTTGGCATTAGCTGGACATAGCTGGAGTTTATATGATAGCGTATTTCAAATCTTCTAAAATGTGCTATAAATATCATTATACCATAAGAATCTTAGCTAAAGAAATGCGTGAGTGACCCCTAAAACATCTAGGAAGTCTTGACTTGCTATCCAGTTTCCTTTACTTGTTTCCTTGCTAATTCTACAGAGAATAGATTTTCTTAACAAAATTTCAAACTTTTGAAAGTGATGATTTACCTTATCAAACTTAAGAACATAAATAATGTTTCCCATCTAAAAAAGTTTTTTAGAACACCATGTATACTAGCAAAGTATGAGCCTTGTTAGATATAATCAGTACTCAGACAGGAAGAGAATCGTGGAAGTATAGAGCTGAAAGGGGTCTCGGCCATTTCATCAGAAGTGTAGAGCATAATGGTTAGGTGTCTAGACTTTGGAGCAGAATGCCCATGGTCAAATCCTGACACCACCACTTACTGGCTTGTGCCTTTGGACAGGGTATTTAATCTCTCTGTAGATACTCAGTTTCTTCATCTTTAAAATGAGGTTGTGAGAATCAGATGAGAATCAGGCATGAACTCTGGAGGCAGACCGCCCAGCTTTGAATCTAGACTCCTCTACCTACTCTGTGGCCTTGGGAAAGTAACTTAATCTCTAAACTCTATTTTTTTTTTTATAAAAATGGGCTTATTAATAGTGCCTACTTCATATGTTGTTGGAAAGATTATTAAGTTACTATATGGAAAATGCTTTGAACAGGGCCTTCTACCAGAAAGTGCTCTGTCTGTGCTGTTATTATTTGTTGTTGTTGCTCTTGTCATGGTTAACTTGAATCCTTCTCTTGGGAATAGTAATCTTTCAATAAATGTCACTTATTATTATTGTTAGTATCTAGCCTAGTGCCCTCATTTTATAGGTAAGCGTACAAAAAAAAGGTTTGGAAGTTGTAACTTTAAGGTCCCTAGGCATTTCTATGGTCTGGAAAGAGATGACAGTGAAAGAGATATCCAAGACATATTGATGATTTTATCTCCCTTTTCTTCTCCAAAAGATTAATCTATATGTTGAGGAATTTTTTCCCTTGGGAAAAATACCTTGAATTTTATAAAGAAATTCCCTGTAAAAGGAATTTAGTCACTGAAACTTCCTTTGAAAGAATTCGTTGCTGCCAAGCAACCCTCCTAAGACACACAGTGTGAAGCAGGTGTTACTTCCACTCAGAAAAAGTGACCAGGTCATCTTCTCTCTCCCTTCGGGTTATAGAAAATCCATGTGAAATGTATCCCTGCCTCTCTCCCTCCCTTTGAGTTTTCTTTTTACTTTTTTTCCCTTACAGTAGAGTACAGGCCCCCATGAGGACAGGGACTTTAATATATGTACTTTTGTATTCCCATCATCTGTAACAATGCCTAGTATGCTTTAGGCCCTCAGTAAATGTAAATTGAATTAACTTCTGAATTCATGAAATCCAGAGAAGAAACAATAAAGTTTACATTGAATCCAAGAGCATAGAATTAGCTGTTAGCTTTAATATCAGCATTACTAGTACAAGAAAGGGAAGTTTTAAAAGAAGAGATGTGTCAAGAAACAAAAGATCTATAGAGAAGTGTTGAGAATTTCAAGGAAAGTCATAATTAAGCCATAGAATTTAGCTCCTATAATTTCATGGTAAATAAAAGGGAGTTGAGTGTAATTCATAAATATTTTCTATGCTAACTAAACATCCTTCAGGTAGAACCTTTTCTCCTGCTAACCTGTGGTTTGTAACCATC